AGCTATTCTCCAAAGCACCTGAGGGCAGGACAAGAAGCAATGGGTGGAAACTGATCAAGGAGAAAAGCAACCAGAACTTAGGAGAATTTTCCCGACAGTTTGAACAATTAATCAGTGGAACAACTTGCCTCCGGAACTTGTGAATGCTCCAACACTGGAAGTTTTTAAGAAGAGATTAGATAATAGTTTGTCTGAAATGCTGTAGGGTTTCCTGCCTAAGCAGGGGTTTGGACTAGAAGACCTCCAAGGTCCTTTCCAATTCTGTTATTCTGAAATTTAAAGAAAAATGGCCTTGTATGAAATCAATGCATAGATACAATGAACCAAGGATGGTTTGCAAGGACAAAAGATCTGGAGAGGTATAATGGCTGTCATTAAATCTCGATTTAGCTATATTCCCTTGCTTTTTCCTGAACTCATCTTTTTAATTTATTTGGCTTACTCTTTCTTACTCCTTTTCCACATTTTGCATAATATTGCTTTCTTTGACAGAGAATAGCATGATGATTAGGTATACGTTATGAGAAAGAGAAGAAACTATCAAGTCCAAAAATTATTCCAGGTGCTTGAACCATAATATCTACAATTCAAAATCAATCCAAGGTGGAGTTGTCAACTCTACCTTCAGTGTTAGGTGTAATCTGATGTCAATTATCTTTAAGGAGAAAGGACATCATTGCACCCAGTACAAAACCATTCAGCTATAAATCTGTTGAACTCAGTGGGATATAAATCTGATCAAATCAGAATTGACTTGTACTATTGATTATTGTAAAAAGGATAATAGTGGTATCCATGTACTTCCCACATCATAATTTGCTGAGGAATGCCAAGCCTGTTGTTTAAAAAAAAATTTAAACATCACAACACAAAACACCATAAGAGGGCAGCAAGGCACAAATCTTGCTACCTTTCCTTATGAACTCTCTTATTTAACAGCTGAATATTCAAGGAAACAGACTTTCATCCAGCTTCCTTCAAAGGGTTTTGTCCAGGGGTGGGATTCAACCAGTGTTACTACCATTTCAGTGATTACATTTTGCTCACGTGTATAATAAACCTAAAGCTGTGCCGCCCGGACAGCTGATAAGCGCTGTGCGTGGATGCGCAACGTTTGAAAAATACCTTTTTTTACTGCTTTTTCAACTTTAGTTGTGCGGTGCAAAGCAGCTGAAGTTGACCAAACAGGAAATAAAGGTCAGGTAAGAGCCCGGGCGGATGGGTGGGCCAAACAGCAGCAGACACAAAACCGGTTATATAGAGCTGGCCAGAACCGGTAGCATCCCACCCCTGGTTTTGTCCTAGGTCTGATGATCCCAGAGCAGAAAAGCTAGGGAGGGTGTGGTTTAACTCTAATATGCCAAAGAAGCCATAATCACTCAGAGTAGACAAACCTGATGAGCTATAAAACTGGGTTTACATCCTAAAAAAGGCTAGGTGCAAATATCACCAAGCCAAAAGCAAACAAACAATATTCTGGCTTATTATACGATGGGAATCCCAACTACAGATACTGTTCTGTATGGCACAAAAATCCTTCCAGATCGGCCCTCCAAATACAGGCATCCCACTTACCTACCTGCCTACCTTATTTTAAGGACCATCACAGGCACCCTCTTCCCTAGTTCATTATTATCCCACAGAAGATCTCAGCAACCATAGGAATTACTACAAGGCAGGCAAATTTCATGTTCAGCACGAGACTTTCTCTTTAAAGCCTGATGTTTCTTTCAAGTCATTGAAAGTAATTGACTTTATGAAAGAGAGGGAAGGCAAATCACCGAAAACAAATTTCAATTAAATAGCTAAACATCAAATCTGTGGAGGAAGAATGTACAGAATTATATTAATTCACATCTGCACATATGCCAAGCATGCTTTATATCAGCAATCGATTGCAGTACTAGAATAGTCATTTTTGTTCCCATGGATACCAGCCATGGACACACACTCCCTGTTCCTCTTGGTTTTAATGATAAATTCTTCAAAGCGTGTGTGTTTGCTTTCAAAGACAGCTGGCATGCCGCTAATGAACGTTTCCAAGGTTGAATGAGTTTCAAATGTGTGGAGTTCAACTCCCAGAATTCTTAGCAAAGGCCATGCCAGCTGGAGAATTCTGGGAGTTGGAGTCTACAAATCTGAACATTACCAGCCTTGGAAAACTGCCACTTTAGTATAACTGATGTTTGTACTTAGAGAACTGTGCCTGGGCAACAGGTAGATTGAGTTGGGTATTGAGTGGGGATGGACAGCTGTCAACTAATAAAATATTTCTATGGTCTTTTTAGAAAGGGAGGGGGGAGCAATGCAAACCAAAACTGCATTCCATAAATGCTTTCAAAGATAGTAACTAGGTGACTGAAGTTTCTGCTGTGCAAAATTCTAACTGGAGAACATGATTGATGACTCTTGGCTATGGATGTGTCCCATTGGAGAATATGAATTACGGTACACCCAGGAGGGTGGGGGGAAACCAGGGGCAAGGGTGACAATGAATTATGTGCCTCGGAGTTGGCTATATCCAGGCAGTGCCGGACAGTTTAACTCCCAATAAATCCCTTTTAAGTTTTGGAAGTTTGGCTTGAGAATCATGATTTAGATGGAGGTAACTGCTGGAATCCTGACAACAGCATTATCCATTTTCTCTTCTGGAAAATTGATGTTTTGACCACTTCTCCCAGCTATTCAAAGAGCATGCTGAAGACAGAGTGTCAACATTTCACATAGATTTAGAATCCTAAATATGAAAGTGCTGATGAAGCTATGGGTGCTTGATTAGGTATCCCAAAGTCACGTTGTTTCAAGTGCATTTTCTCTACTTATATACAAATCCTCAAGGAAGTATGCAGTTCACTGGTGGGTTTTAAGAAAAGATTGAACAACCATTTGTCTGAAATGGTATACGGTTTCCTCCTTCATCAGTGGGTTGGATGAGAATACCTCTAAAATCCCTTCCAGTTCTGTTATTCTGTAATTTAGGTATTATGAAAGACCTGGCATTTCAAAAAAAATAGGAGCTGAGCCAACAGGCATCTTGCTTTCAAAATCCTAGCTAATGTTGGAATAGACCAGTGGTGAGATTCAAAATTTTTTACTACCGGTTCTGTGGGCATGGCTTGGTAGTCGTGGTAGGGGAAGGATACTGTAAAATCTCCAGTCAGAGGTGTATTTGCCGATTCTCTGAACTACTCAAAGTTTCTGCTACCGGTTCTCCAGAACTGGTCATGAACCTGCTGAATACCCACCTCTGGAATAGACTGTCCTGCTCGAGCAGGGGGTTGGACTAGATGACCTCCAAGACCTTTCCAACTCTGTTATTTTATGTTCTATAAAATCAGATCACTATTACCTAAACTTTGTTGTCACATTGCCTCTTCTTCTTTTTGTTTCTGATTGAAGGAGATGAAGGTGAAAAGGGAGACCAAGGAGAAATGGGAAAAACTGGGAAACTTGGCCCCACAGGATCCAAAGGTAAAACAATTTACAATACTCTCTTTACAGTTAAAAACATAGGAATGATCCCTTACTACTTCAGAGTTACACACTGGCTGCATGCTTAACCTGGTTCTTAAATTAACCCTAATGGGCTGGGTTGGGACAGGGCCATAAGCCCTAAAAAAATCAGGTTTATCCATGTTTAGTATGTAATGGCAATGCAGCCATTAGACCATCGCCTAATCTGGATAAGTGTACTGTATAAACTCAGCTATTCCATAAATTATTTTTACACTCTGACAAGCTTATCTTGCTTCTTAATCACAGGAGGAAAGGAACTATTTAAAAGGAAGCTTATAAAGAAAATTATCCAGAGTAATAATGTAATTTTTAAAATAAAAAAAAATGTGTGACCTTTCATTAATGTTGATGACTGCTTCGTCTAGTCCCTAGAGTTTTAGCAATATTTCAGAAATGGTTTGATTGATGGACTGAGTGATTGATTGATACAGCCATCTATCTCACAAATATGACTCTAGCTGTTTGTAATAAAATAGATAAAAGCAAATAAAACATGTAATATAAATGTCAACTCATAAAATATTTATAGGGTCGTTTTAGAGTTGCTAACAGAAAGGGAGGGGGGAAAGTGGCTTGAAAGAGCAGTGCAGCAGCTTGGAAATCGAAAGTGCATTCCATTCATAATTTTTCAGAGATAGTAACTAGGTGACTGAAATTTCTGCCGCGCAAAAATCTAACTGGAGAACATGATTGATGACTCTTGGCTATGGATGTGTCTCATTGGAGAATATGGATTATGATATACCCAGGAGGTGGGGGAAAACCAGGGTCAAGGGTGACAGTGAATTATGGGTCTCAGAGTCGGCTACACCCAGGCAGTGCCAACATGTTAATTCCCAAATAAATCCTGTTTAGTTTTGGAAGTTTGGCTCTAGACTCATGATTTAATTGTGGTAACTGCTGGAACCCTGAAAGCAAAATAAAACCCCATAGCAGCCGAGCAGCATAAAATAACCATCAACAAAGCCAAGAAACAGAGTCTTATTACGCTTCTGGACTTCAGGCCTGGTCAGAAAACCAAGTTTTTCAGGGCCTTGTGAAAGGCCAGCAAGATCTAGGCTAACCTAATCTTAGCCAGGCAGAATTATGTTCCACAAGATGGCAGGAAAGGCCTTCCTCCTGGGTCCCACCGCTGATCCTCCTTAACTGATGGTATCCACAGCATGGTCCTCTTGCCAGACCAAATGGGATGGAATATAGCCGAAGGAGTAGCAGAAGCGAGGGTGGAGTCAAAAGCGGGATCAGCCTCGAATCCTTACGTAGCCATAAGTAGACTAAGTCCAAAATCCCTTGAATTCCATTGACCCTTATCAAACTCCAAGCAGGTGCCCACCGTTAGTTGGGAAAATTTTATGCATAGGCTGTTTAGCAATAAATCAGTTTAATTGGACCTTCAGATCTGGATCTGGTCTTTCACACCTGACCAGAATAGAAACAACTGGGGAGATATGATCCTGTTATTAAGAGACGTGGTGGCGCAGTACTGCTGGCTATTTCTGCTGACCGCCGACTGCCTGCAATTTGGCAGTTCGAATCTCACCAGGCTCATGGTTGACTCAGCCTTCCATCCTTCCGAGGTGGGTAAAATGAGGATCCAGATTGTTGGAGGCAATAGGCTGTAAACCACTTAGAGAGGGCCGTAAAGCACTTTAAAGTGGTATATAAGTCTAAGTGCTAGTACTATTAGGACAGTTGGAAGCCATGCCTTGAGGCCCCTGAAACTGGCTGTGCAGATGGCATTTTAAAGGATGCAAAGGTTAAAAAACCACTCGTATCTGCTACTTTTGAAAGTAGCTGTATCTTTTCCACAAATGCAGAGAAATCAAATCCAAAGTATTGTACTCCTCTATTTATTATCTTCTGAATCATCAAGTTTGCTCAAAATGCTGGTTGCTGGGAAACAAAAGGGAAGGAGACTCTCAATCCAAGTTCAAACTTGTGAGCTTCCCAGGTGTATCTAATTGTCACTGTGTGACCCAGAATGCTGGTCTGTATAGGGTTTAATCCAGTTTTCTTTTTTTTAGGTTCTTAATTACTCTGTCGACATGTGTGTCTTACCCATCTGTGCATGAGAATAACACTGAGGGAGTTGCATATACATCTAATGATATTTTTTTCCTCTTAGTCATCATTTAAGAATATTTTTTTCAGACCAAAACATCACTCCTACAAGCATCTCAGCAGGGAGTTTTGAGTGATGCAGATAAGCTTGGAAATGTCATGTTGTTGTTTTTTTTTCTACAAGAGTGCAAAGAAAGGGAGAGACAGCCATCTGTTACCTGACAGCTCAGCATGGTACATTAATGGAGACAAATCAAAGTCAAACTCTCTTCAAAAGGGCTCCATTCTGTTGGAATGGACAAGAAAAGCATATGCAACACCTTTCAAGTGGAGTAGCAAAGGAGTATGTGACAATTTTCTTTCTTAAAACAATTGGGTACTTGGAAAAGGTGCTTTCTTAATCATCAATCATAGGGCGAAGAGTTGAGGGGCTAGGCATGTCTAGTCTATCAAAGAGAAGCATTGGGGGAGACATGATAACTGTCTTCCAGAACTAGAGGGCCTGTCACAGAGAAGAGGGGACAACTTATTCCCAAAAGCACAAGAGGGCAGGACAATGGGTGGAAGATTGTTAAAGGAAATACTTTAACTCAGGAGAACTTTTTTTGACAGAGAGAACAATTAATCAATGGGATAGCTTGCCTTCTGAAGTTGACAGTGCTCCATTGCTGAAGGATTTCAAAAACAAACCGGACAACCATTTGACTGGAATGGTGTAAGCTCCTGCCTTGAGCAGGGGTTGGACTAGCAGACCTCCCAGATCCCTTCCAGTCTATGACACTATGTTCCATATTTTGCTTTCATAAACTAACATAACCCTCCCACTTCGATCTCTAGTTAGAAGGGAAAACGTTGACCATTTCATAGCTACGCACATCTCCTTTTAATGGAGAAGTGCTAGATTAGAACATGGTTATCTTAGTCCAACATCTTCTTTCTTAGGGCAACCAGCAAAATACTTCTGGAATATTGTGGAAATGAGGTGGGGGGACACAAGCCATTGGTGGTGCAGTGGTTAGAATGCAGTACTGCAGGCTACTTCTGCTGACTGCCGGCCATCGGTAGTTCAAATCTCACCGGCTCAAGGTTGACTCAGCCTTCCATCCTTCTGAGGTTGGTAAAGTGAGGACCCAGATTGTTGGGGGCAATATGCTCTGAAAAATGCTTAGAGAGGGCTGTAAAGCACTATGAAGCGGTATATAAGTTTAAGTGCTATTGTTATTCTCTAATGGGAATTATTTAAAGCAGGGGGCTCCAAGCTTGGCAAATTTATGACTTGTGGACTTCAACTTCCAGAATTCCTCAGTCAGCATGGAATGCTGGAAATTGGAATATAGAAGTGGTAAAGTTGCCAAACTTGAAGAATTCTGATTCAACCTCTATAATTCCTGGCCCTTTACAAGAATAGAGTAGAGTAGAGTAGAGTAGAGTAGAGTAGAGTAGAGTAGAACAGGAACAGAACAGAACAGAATTCTTTATTGGCCAAGTGTGATTGGACACACAAGGAATTTGTCTTTGGTGCATAAGTTCTCAGTGTACATAAAAGCTATACATGATAAATCATGATCATAGTCATCATAAAAAAATACATTCATCATAAATCACAAGAGACAACACTTAGTGATAGTCATAGGATACTAAATAATCAATCAACATAAATCATACTAGGAAACTAAGTAAAACAACATAAATTGTAAAGATACAAGCAACAAAGTTATACTATAAGTAGAAAAGGAGAAGTAATAGGAAAAATGAGTGGAATAATAGTAATACAGCCTTACTAAATAGTAAGGATCTTAGTTTGATTAATGTGCAGTACCTTAAAATACAATTAAATTGTGCTCTGAGACTCAATGAAACAAACTTCTATTTATTGTATTTCCAATTCAGGAAACAAAGGAGCAATTGGAGATATTGGTGAACAAGGAATGATAGGTAAAATTGGACCAATTGGCAGGAAAGGTAAGTATTAATTAATCACACATCTTCACTGGATGGTAAACCTCAGTATAAAATTTAAAAAACACCTGCTATTTATGTTTGCAAATGAAACTGAAGGCTTTTATTTCCGAAACACAAGTACTGTTAACTTATGCTTCCTGTTCCATGGCTACCAACATGAATCCATTCAGACTCTTTTTAGTATTGTCTATGTTTTTGGAAAAGCTCTTCATAAGCATGCATTTCAATTTCCTCAATGTTCTCTGCTGAGTTCATTATAATTTAGTGTCTGCACAATGAAATACAAGAGCAAAGTACATGGAAGAAGGAGGAAAAAAAATAACTAAAGGGCTTATTTTAAAACAAGCATTTGACACACTTGTGTTCACTTCACCAAATGCTGAAAAATGTAAAAAGCAGAATGGTCAGAGATCTCTTCAATGGGCATCAATGAAGGAGAGACCACCATTAAGTTGCAGTCTTCTCAGATCCCAATCAATGATGGGACGCTCCTAGTCTGTGCTAGGATGACTGTAACTCATTGGAGTGCAAATGCAGAAGGTCATCCTTTCAAGCAAGATTAATTAAATGATCAGTCAATCTAGCCCAGTTCCTACATCCCTCTTGAACACATATCCCCTTCAGTACATCCCTATCAACCACACCTCCTGAAAGCTACATGGCCAACTTTATTTTGAAGGGAACAGAAGTGTGGATTGAGATTTCCCTATGGAAGCAGGAATTTTGGAGTTGGCTAGTCAAACTTAATGCAGCTCTGTTGGGAGCTTGGCTAATAGGCATTTGGGAATTCATGCTATGAGGTAGGTGGACATTATCAAGTTCACTTACACATTAACTAACAACATACACATTTCTATGCAATGCTCAAATATTTCAAGAATAAAAATGCTCCAGGGGCCTTATCTAAATTGGCAACAACTGTTTCACGTTCCTATTGTATCCAAGTATGTGCCTTTTTTTTTTTACTTTTAGTTGTATATTTTCCAACTGTTCCTTGCAGAACTCTTCTACCTTAGAAATATTGTTGCAATATACTACATGTTTGAGATATCCCCACAGATTTCTAGGAATATTTAAATCCAGGAATTGTGAAAGCCATTCCAAAAGTTTATGTTTCTTCCTTGTGAAAACGTCATAGTTGAATTGGAAGCCAATTTCAGGGTTTTGTTTGTTTAAATGCCTGACCTCTTTTCAGTTTCAGTTTGTTCACCAACTGTGGGAGATATGTGATTAATGCAAAGCAGATTGGGGGTGGGGGAAAACAAAAATAAAAATGGAAAGACTGAGCTTGTTACAGAAAACATATGGAGGTGGAGATGACGGTGGCAGCCATCACATATATATTCCTTCTTCCCACTGGCTGATTATTCCCTTAATGCTGAATGCGGTGGTGAGTGCAGAATTATAAACGTATGTACTCTTTTTCACTGCAAACATTGCAGAAATGGCAATAGCAATAGCACTTGGACTTATATACCACTTTCAAGTGCTTCACAGCCCTCTCTAAGCGGTTTACGGAGTCAGCCTATTGCCCCCAACTATCTGGGTCCTTATTTTACCCACCTGGAAGGATGGAAGGCTGAGTCAACCTTGAGCCTGGTGAAATTTGAACCACCAAATTGCAGGCAGCCAGTAGTCAGCAGAAGTAGCCTAGAGTACTGCACTCTAGCCACTGCACCACTGAGGCTCGTACAGATTACCTTCTCTTTTCATCTCCAATTGTCCTATTGAAATTATCTTTTTTCCTTTAAAAACAGAAGTCCCACTCAGCTTTTTATCCTGCCAGGGGTTAATAGCAACTAGGGGTGGGTTGTTATAAAATGAAGGAAAGTTAAAACCTCCTGTATACTGCACCTCCTATATATTGCAATCCCATTAAAAACAAACCTTCCACCTTCAGAATTCCCATTTATTCTAAAGTAATTTTCTTAAGTGCCTCTAAAACCTGTAAAAAAAATTCCTCTTCCCAAAAGTGAAATGCATAACCTACCTACTTTGGGTTTATTCATTTATTATATCATTAACTCCTTTCAGCTATTGTCCCTCTCAGTTTTTGCTGCGATTCCGTGAAGAAAGAAAGGTACTAGGCACATCTAGCTCCTAAGTCTTTAAACTTTTAATGGATCATCTATTAGAATCGGAAGTTTGCTATCAGAAAACAAACGCTTTCAGAGCCTGCCTTGGCAAGACTACAGTAGACCAAAATAGAGTCAACTGTATTCAGTAGAACTTAATCCAATGTACAGGTTGTCTTTGACTTATGACCACAATCGAGCCAAAAATGTCTGTTGCTAAGTTGAAGTGAGTTTTTCCCCATTTTACAAATTTTCTGTCAACTCATAAAATATTTCTATGGTCTTTTTAGAGTTGCCAACAGAAAGGGAGTGGGGTAACAGTGCAACAAACCAAAACTGCATTCCATAAATGCTTTCAAAGATAGTAATTAAGTGACTGAAGTTTCTGCTGCGCAAAATTCTAACTGGAGAGTATGACTGATGACTCTTGGCTATGGATGTGTCCCATTGGAGAATATGAATTATGACACACCCGGGGGGTGGGGGGAAAACCAGGGTCAAGGGTAACAATGAATTGT